GAGAGAATTAAAAAAAAGGAAGAAAAAATAAATAAAAATTTTTAAAAAGAGAGAGGGAGTAAGTGGGGAAACAAATATGCCGTCCCAAAAAAGGGAAGAGAGCCTCGGACAACCAGGCATTCTGAGACTCCCAGTCTCCCGTTTACACCCCTGGGCCAGGAAGATGGCAATGATTTTCATTAGTAAAGGGAGACCCAGGAATTCAGCAAGGGTCCTTAGGGGACGTTAGGACTGAGTTCTAGACCGCACCACCAGAATTTCTGTTCGCTCTTCTGTAAAATTAAAACTATGCTTTAGAAGTGATCTCCAAGATCTCACTTAGCTTGAATCCTTTGGAATTAAATGACTCATCAAATTCCTTCCATTTGATTCTGCACAAAAACACCCACTTTTATTCTTCAGAGCCTAGTCATTTCCACTCACTCTTCGGGAGTTTTTAGGTAGGAAGGGTTTTTAAATGTCAGCAACTGTCAACGAATGGAGGGCTTGAAAGATATTTATCTATTTCATAAACCCTCTTCTGCCTAATCTTTGTAAGAATTCCTTAACACGTGTACACTTTTTTTTTCTCAGGTCACTGTTACCTTCTACATGTTTCATCTTAAAGAAAATTTCTGAAGCCTTTGAAGTAATCAAACCTACCCACTAAATATACAGCTGGAGTACTTCTTGGAGGCAAATATGATAAAACTACCTCTCACATACTTTGAGCGTGGTGTTGTGCATTGAAGAGGGACACATGGTGAGGATGAGAGACAGCAAAAGAGGCAAATTGACACAGTGACTGTAGCAATGAGCTCAAGTGTGTCATATTGTGAGGATGGCACAAGATAGGACAAGGTACAGATGTGTTGTTGATAGGGTTGTTATGACTCTTACTTCGATGGCACCTAACAACAGCATAGATTATGACTGTTGGATTTAAGACATGTTCATTTCTTGGAATGGGAGAAGTTTACCAAAGGAGTCAAATGACTTGCTATTGGTTTACTTTGATTTTGGATGCACAAATAAATTAGTAGAATTTCAGAATTAAACGAAATCTTAACCTTCACCTACTCTAAAATCCACAAGTTATACATGAGGTCATAAATTTGGAGGATTAATAATGTCCTTAGGGGCCTATAATCTTTGCTGTAGAACTTCTTGCCAGATCACTAGTCTCTCTCCTGTACCAACCGGCTTGCTAAATTAAGATAGGTGTTTAAGACCCTTTAATGGAATCCTGCAATTGTTAGGGTAAGAAAGAAAATTATTAACCATTTGCATGGCCCACTTGCTCTTTGTCCCTGCCAGCTACACCAATCCTATCCTGTCACTGTCTTTGTTGCTCATCTGTACACCTGTCATGCTGACCTTTTCAGGTTTTGAACATAACATAATGCTTCCTTCCGACAAATCTTTACTCGATTATTCAGTGTAATGAGATGTGATATTATGCTCCCCTTCCTCCTCCTCATCACCTGTTCTTGCCTGTTTTCCCCCATTAAGCTCCTAATTATATCACAGTTACCACAATTGCCATGAAAAAATGATATAGGTGGCTTAATATTCATCTTGCACATTAGAATATAAGCCCTATGAAAACAAGGATAATACTGGAATTGTTTACTGTTTTTTATCCATTGCCTTGAACAATATTTTGCAGATTTAAGGAGTTTATTAAATATTTTGGAGATGATTAAATGACAATAACAATTTTTGTGTGTTGCAAAAGGCTTTACAATAGTTTGCTAGTTCCCTTCCTCACTGAGCTACAGACACGTCTCTACTTTGAATAATCAGCGCATATCTACCCAAACTCTTTACCCACACATATCTATAAATATGTTAGTGTAAATAAGACAGCAAACATTAAACCATACACATCCCTGGCTCATTTTACTTCCCCATAATTATACCTAACAAACCTTTAGTATCTAACACTAATAAATATCTTTCCATAATATTTGCAGTCTTTGAAACTCCATGGAAGACCATCAGGAACTGGAATCTATTTGAGGCCTGAAGTTCATAAAAAAAAATTTAAAAATGGGAGATTACATTGTGCACATCAAAAACTTTTTCCAACAGAGGGAGAGGACCCTTAGACTGGGAAAAACATTTGGCAATGCAAACTCTTTTGGTGTTTCTTAAGCTGAAAGAACTGAAGAACAAATTCAAGCCTTGAGTTGCAATACTTAAGGATACTAAGGTCAGAATTCAGAATGATACAAAAATCATTAAAGAAGATGCAGGGAGGGTGGCAGGTGGAGAGGCAGCGCCAGAGCAACCCAGCTTCGCGAAAGCTCTGAGCGTGCAGCGGTCCACAGGCACCTGGCACAGGCATGAACGCTCCCTTCTGCCAAGATGCCCAAGAGGAAAATAAGCTCAGCCGCAGATGGGCTCATAAAGAAGGAGCCCAAGAGATCAGCGAGGCTGTCAGCTAAACCGCCTGCAAAAATGGACAGGAAACCCCAAAAGGTAGCAGGAAAGGAGAAGTCTTCTGACTAAAAAGTGCAAACAAAAGAGAAAAGGAGAGCAAAGGGAAAACAGGCTGAAGTGATGAACCAGGAAACTAAGAAGGTTTTCCTGCAGAAAATGGAGCAACTAAAAACAAAGAGAGTCCAGCCTCTGATGAAGCAGGAGAAAAAGAAGGCAAGTCTGATTAATGTTTCTCTACCATGTCTTATCAGTGGTCCCTGGAGCTCCATTCTTGTACAATCCAGAGGAAAATTTTTATCAACTATTTTGTAAATGCAAGTTTTTTAGTATCTCTAGAAATATTTTTAAGGAGGAAATCCCACTTTTAAGTGTAAGTGCTTTTTTAAGATGTGAGATAATTTGCTAGTTATTTTCTGGTACAACCAGAAAATGTGGGATATTGAAATTGTGGGGGACTTTGGGTGTCAGTGTAACATTCCATGGGGGAAAGGGAAAGTTCTTATATCCCATAATACAGAGCATACTTAATGACAATTTGGAGTTATAGTCATGCATTTATAACTTGAACACTTTAAATTAAATCTATTTTTCATGGTTTTTTTAGAGACCTAAATCAGAGAGTTGGACAATGACTAGGGAGGATAGAAGGAGAATTGATGCCTTTGAGCTGTGGTGCTGGAGAAGAGTATTGAATATACCATGGACTG